GTTTGTTGTTAGCCGCCCAGAGTCCCCCATTGTGGGGAGATGGGCGGGGACAAGTCTATTAAATAAATAAAATAAATAAATAAATAAATTTCAAATGTAAAACTGTTTTTCCAAAATAGGTATTGCCCTCTATCCAGGCAAGGCTGAATTGCTAACCTGCAAGCATCACTTCTACGATTACATTCCACCTCTGGTCAACCCAGGCCAGCCAGGGAAAATTGAATGTGTTACTCAGAGAATCAGCTACATAGATCCTTTTACTAATGAAACCAAGGTAATAATTAAAGGAAATGTGAACTAAAGTCCATTGTGTGCATAGTGGAGATGTCTCAGCACAAAGCAGGAGCTGCTATGATATTTATATTGCACTTCTCTACTCACAGAGCACATAACTAGGAGGAAAGCAGGAGAAGGCACTTTTCCATCTGCTCTCAGAACACAAAGGCATCTTTGAAGGCCTCTGTTGCTGGCCTTAATGTCCAGACAGGTTCCTATCGAGTTAGGCAACTCCTCAAAATGTCAGGCCCTAAACCAACAGTTTAAATTGTATCTGGAAAGCAGCTGACAGTTTTTCAACACAGGCATAACATGCTCCTGATGCTGTGGTCCTTTGCCAAGCATTAGAGTTGTTTAAAACAACTTTGAAAGATTATTTTATGCTTCAGACTAATTAATTACAGTAATTTGAATAAGGCTAAGACGAACAAAGCCCTTTCCCACTGGTCTGTATGGTGCATCTATTTATTAGTATTCAGAGGCATCTGCAGGACACCGCACTTCCCTCAAAACAACAAAAGCAGCATTGCACCATTGTGACACAAGTTCCACCCCTTTGATTTGTGTGTGTGAAGTCACAACACATGTACAAAAGGGTGGAGCTTTTATCACAATGGCACAACGCTGCTTTTGTTATTTGCCCCTCTTTGGCCCCTCCTGCAGACACCTTGGTTAGTATATATGCTTTAAAAGATACTCTTTGGAATTAAAACTGGATTTCTAAAGAAGGGAATAAAAAGCTGAATCCCTTCTTAGCAGTCTTCGGTCTTAGCGGCCTTCATTACTGTAATACTTCATTCGTGTCACTACTTCACGTCATTTCACATTTGTCTTAGCAGCCCTCACTACTGCAAATAGCCAGCAGCTATAAGAACTTACATTTTCTTAGTTTCACAGCTGTAGCAATAGAAGTATTCACATAAAGGCATCCTTAGCGCCTGTTGTAGGTTGTGCCTCCCCAGCTGGGCTTGTTGGCCATGTCCTCCATCAGCTGTGTGTTTAATATTTAAAATAAGCCTGGAACAATAGGTTTCTTTGGTGCAGAAACTGTTACTGGTACTGTTTGTATAGTGTTATATGCACAATGGATGTGGTCTGGAAACACATTGTCAGGTAGAATAGGACTAGCTAGTGTGCCACTTCACATACATGCTCTCCATGTATGAGCAGGCATGTGTGAATCTTCCTATAATGCTGGCCTATCTTAAAGCCCAGTTATAAATCTTACCACAGCAATGGAAGTGCAGGGCTTTGAAAATTTAAATAGCTATGAGTAATTATTACCAATCTCAGAAGTTCTCATCGCAGCCTCTTTCCAAATGCTGTGCAAAGAATCAGGGGTTGCTGTCAAATGAGAGAGATGATGTTGGAATGAATGAAGGCAGATCTTCTTATTGAGACAACCACTCAGTTGAGAGAAGGAGCCTTTTATCCCCTGTCCCTTTCTTTCTTCACAGTTTTCTGACCCCCATGTTACATTTAGGAAGAAGGGATTGTGAAGATTACTATGGGGAGGGAAGGAAGACAAGAGGGGAAATCCATATCTGCCAGTCCTCATTTGCCTAAATTTAGATCTAGCCTATTGTAATTAATAGAAAACAATAGCATGCCTATTTTCTTTAAGGATGCTTTGGAATATTATTTTTCTGCAGCTAACAAAATATGTTGATAAGTGAAAGGATTCTGGAGTCAGCACTATCTTAAATTGTCCTGATTAATCCCATGATATATACTTCTGTATGGAAGGCAGAACTTCTCATATGTCAATTTTTTGTTCCTTGCACTTGTAGAAACATGCTGTGATTGTGAAAGGACCCCAAGATGTGAAGAAACGGGAATTGGTCTTCATGCAGTTTCACCTAAATGAGACTGAGCAGGATTTCAGTGCAATAGATTATCTTCTTTTTTCTTCATTCCAAGATTTTCTCAACAGGTGTGGCCCTCCTTAACTTTCAATGATATCAGGAAGTAGAGGTATGCTTAGGACTAGAATGACATAAAAGATTGGGCAAACTTCATGACTGTAAACACCTCTTTTTTTAGTAAAACTCCAAGGTTCACCAAAGAGAGTCAGGTACAGAAGAGTAGATCAAATAGCTCATGAGCTACTTACACTAAGTCTTCCTTAGCTTGGGTGCCTTCCATATTTGTAGCCTTCAACTTTCACAATCCTCATCAATAATCATATACATCATGGGGCACTCAGGTTAGGGAAAGATATGATAGGAATTGAGTGGCCTTACTCAAATTCAAATCCACTGCTGATTTGCTCCCAACTATTTTTCTTCTATAATCTACTTTAGAGGAAAAAAAAGTTGCTGGTATAGTTGAATAGTTGGGAATCTAAAACTCTGTCCAGTTATGCAAATCATGTCTCAGCCCAATTTTATAGTATTGTGATATAAAATAGGAGGAAGAAACACAAGTCACCTTAATTCCCTTCCTACTAATCTCGTTTTGGAGGAACCTAGGCATAACAGTTTGTAAGATGGATGAGGGAGGAAGAATAGCAGGACCCCAAAATAAAATGTATTGCTTCCAACCTGCTAGCATTTCCTGAAGTAAGTGGGCAGATCAGTAGAATAGGAACAAAAAAAAAACATTTACTTAATATGGTATGGGAAGATAGTCAGAAGCAAGATAAGCAAGTTGGAGAAACATTTCTATTTTTAAATCACAAAATGGGGACAGTGTTGAATTTGAATGTTGAATGATCCATAAGTGAGCTGAAAAATTTCTGAGGTGAGATGCATCAGTGAGGTTAACTCTCTGTCAGCTGTACAGCTGACTTTTGAGTATCACTGTGTGAAAAGAGAAAGTTGCTTCTAACTTCTCCTATGTGGTCTTGTTTGAACATATTTCAAAAACGTTTAAACTCCAAAACTAATTAGATTTATATTATAAATTTATAATTTATATTATATTTATTTATATTTATATTTTATCCATAAAATATCAGTATTTTACATGTTTCATTTTCATATCTTTGTGCCTAATCTTTAACCTTAAATAGCCAAATAATATTACTGTAATTTAATTTATCCATAAACTGTTAGGGCGCTCATTGTTTCACTCAATTTCCAATAAATTACATGGCTGCATTAACGTGCAGTTTTTTATTCCAAACTAGGAGCAAACTAGATTGCTTTTCAACAGTTTTTGCTTCCTTGGCTATCTTTCCCAATTCTGATAGTATGTTAACATTTTTAAATGTATATCTTCTCCAGGCAGGTGCTCTCCAGGTATATTGGACTACAAGCAGCATCCCCTTCCAACAGTGTGGCCAGTGCCATGCTGGCTGGCTGGCTGGCTGATGGGACTTATAGCTCAGCATATCTGAAAGGCATCATTTTGGCAAGAGATGGCATCGGTCTCTCAAAGAAATGAGTTTTTGTTGTTTGCTTGTATCTAAAACTAGTTACCAAAGACCATCTTCCCCAACCTGATGCCCTTCAGATGCTTTTGAACTGTGTCTTCTATTTGGGGTTGGTTATAATCAAATGCATCTTACAGATGCAGTTGGCGCATAGCAATTCAATCTGTCCGTCCTTAATCTAGAGGTGTGCAGATGGTAAAAATGGGGGGCGGGAGTGGTGACAGATCAGTCAGGGCCTTTTTGCTACCTGTGTTTTTGTGTATCATAAAGCAGTGCAATCAAATGAAGGGGTTGTTAGAAAACGATAAAATCATTTTTTGAAAGTAGGCTTTAAAAAATAAATAACGTAAGAGCACAAGTTCCATTCTGTGAGTTGTGTCCAGTGAAAAACAGCAGAGCAATTCATGACTATATCTGTTCCTACTCCATTAAGTTAAGCAGGATTTGTCCTCTGGGGTCCTGGGCAGGTAAGAAATGCCATCCTTCTCGGAAACCGAGCAGCGGAGGATCCATTCAGCTAGACTGTGAAATGGGCCTTTAATGAATCTATGCAAATGCATCTGCTTGAGAAGCTGTATTTTGAGTAAATCCAAGTAATTCCCTTATGAGATGTTTTCCATATAAATTTAGCTTATTGTGAATCGTGTACCTTAAAAACCTACACTTCATTTTTAGGGTCTCCAGGCATGTATAATTGCTTTGTTACCCCACAATTAGTTGGAATACAGGAACATTTTCAAACCTTAGTGGGTAAGACTGAAAAATTAAAGAGTCCCAGCTAGATTTGGTAATAGAGCAAAAGCACCCTTGCAGACTTCTGTGGAAACCATTCATTCCAGCTTAGTCATATCTGCTTCAAAAGCCCGAGTAAACATTTTTTGTAGAAGGGAAGGCAGAAAGAGGAACCTGAATAAAAAACAAGTAGTCATTACAGGGGTAACTGTGGGGGTGGGGAGGGGTCAAAAAAGTCAAGATGGTGGTCATGGCCATATGATCCATGCTTTATCCTTTTTTTACATGCCCACCCCTGCAGGGAGCCCTGAGAAGTTATCAGAAGGGACTGATGCACATTCACTCAAGTGGTGATGAGTCAGCGGTGGGCAGGCATTTGGAAGTCTCCTTTTGGCAGGGCTGGTTGCAGAAAGGTTAGCTATGTGCTGGACAAATGCAATCCATTGTGCCTCCAGCTGAGGCTGTTGCTTTTGAAGTGGCTGTGAATGCTGTCCATGGAAGGGCTGTCTGAGAGAGAGAGCTTGTAATATCTGAGCAAGTCAAACCAAGGCTTTGGGTACAGTCAAGGCAGCTTAATGTGTTCACCTTTGAGACCAGTGAAGCAACACTGCTCTCCTTCATGGCTGCACTCTTCAGTCTAGTTTGAAAAGTATTTTACTTTTTCTACTGTATTCAAAATGTTGAAAGTGGGCTGTTTTTGTTGTACCACTCAACCTGACCAATTCACCTTAACTCACTCAGTTTTTAAATGGAGGTCTTGCTTACTTTTCTCTTTAAGGGGAAATCTTGCTTAGTCTTCTCCTTCAGGCTATGAAACATATTTTTTCTATTTAGCTTTTTTTTTTTTTTAAATGTTGGTTTTCTTTTCCACTTCTGAACATCAAAAAAACACTGCAATCTGAATCTCTGGCAATGTCACATTCCATTTAGCTAGTTAATTTTATTTGTTATTGAACACATAACACAAGAGGGAGAGCAGGAAGATCGAAAAACAAAGAAAAACTCAGTAATTTGCCTGGAACAAGGATTCAGAAAGAATCTTCTCTATGTAACAAGGGATAAAGTCACAAGGACATCTTCCTAAATCTCACTAGAGTATCCTTTAGGTTTTCTTATTAACTTCCCAGAGTAATGAGAGTCATGCAGCATACAAGTTTAATAAATTATTATAATTATTACTAATCCTATTGCTAACAATCTTCATTCCCCCACTTTCAGAGCATTAGTGCTTTTATTTTTAAACACATAAAACTTTTAAACATGTACATGCACATATCGAGTTACTAATCTGAATCCTGCTCTGATCGATTTGCATTTGATTGTTTTGAAACATTTCTTATTTTTCAGGCAGTTCCAGAATCCTTTGGCATATAGGCTCATGGGAGCTGTCTAAAAAA